ATTATGTAATTAAATACTTAATAAGAGCATTGTTGAGTGACTTTTATGTAACAAGTAATAAGGATTACCAATTATTCAGAATTGAAGGATTTAGGGTTGAGAGAACTATTATACAGGGTGATCCATTTAAGTGGGTACACTAATTATCTCGAAAAGTATTAACTTTTTTTTATTTTTTATTTTTTTAAACTGTTAGATTTATGCTTTTCTAAAACTCTATACTATTTTAATTTTTTTCACCCTTATATTTATTGGTGAAACCACTATCAACTTTTGATTTTCAAATGGTAACATATAATAAAAAGATCATGAATTAATAAAACCATTTTTTTTATGAATTTACGCGTTAACATTTTTATTTTTCGATGATTCGTTTGCGAGATACAGCTCCTCAAAGTATTGGTGGTTGAAAGTCGGTACCGCTGGAAAATTTTCATTTGTAAAGCCCAGAAGCTATAACTGATAAATTCGATACCGTTCGACCTAACTACCTACGGTACCTAACATTAAACATATTAATAATTGTTGTACTTTGAACCTGATTAATTGAATGTACATTACACCTATATGCTAATTTGACCAATGCTACGTTTTGTTGACATTGGCTGTCGCACCACATCCCCTCCATATTACCATAGAACAATAATAATCTTATTACTATTACCGATATTTGGCGATACCTTTATCATTATCTATGACCACGGTCTTATAAGATAATAGAATTGATTAAAATATTATATCATATTAATTAATTAATGATAATGGTACAGAAAAATCAAGGTGGATTCATATCAATCCACCTTGAGAAAAATCAATCGGTTGTAATAAACTGAATACTGATAAATGATAATAAACTTTAAAACTTGTAAAGTAAAATACTAAACCATGTGGCCATGCAGCAATGCAGCATAGCACATTAGCACTATTACTTAAATAGTTTAATATTAAATGTATAATGTAATTAATAATTGAACTATACATATGTATAGTTAGTTTATGTTGGAAACCGTTATAAGTAGACAGACAGTTTAAATTTCTTTAATAGCATAATATACCTAACAAAATAGGTACCTAGTTGTTGAATCATTAAGTTTGTCAAAAATATTCCATTGAACTTAAAATTACATTATACCTAAGTCGTAATTTGGGATATATTTATGTATTTTATTTGATATTTCAATCAAAAATATATGTATTTAAGTTTATATTATGAAGTGTGATGTAAACTTGATAATACATGAATACTAACCACTTGGAAAGCACAACATTTGTACCTACATTAAGTTTATTGGTAAGTTTTCTTAAAATGTATACGTAGGAAAATCGTTATGATTAATACATTAATTTGTACATACATTATTATGACGTCTTAACAGTTTTTATTTAAATTTTATTTTCAGTTAAATCAGTTTTGTTCATTCAGTTACACCACCAATAAATGTTATTCAAAGTTTGATAACACAAAATTTGTTATACTCCTAAAATTATTGGCCAACACCAATACACCATAGCACAAACCTAATACAACTTCATATATTATTATTCATTTACTTATTACCATCTACTTGGACACAACAAGATGGTTGCCTATCTACATCATATACATACTTAAAAATATAATGTTCTCTGTTCAGAAGTACTTATAAGTTGCATATATTCAAATTTTACATTCTGGCATAGTAATTATTGTTAAGAACTAAGTTGATCTGTATTTACTACAAATATACTTGGCCAAATGATTTGGAGATAGATATTGAAATCACATAATTTTCTATCTTCCATTACATTTTCCAAACGAGAACAATGACAAATGAAAATTTTGTTTCCCATTTACTATTTTAGTAGTTGGGAGAGACTACAATATGAATTAAGTATGTAAACATATTATTTTACCGTTAAATAATTTGGTTATATTTATCCTTTTTTAATTTATTAGATAGTAAATACTCAACTACTCAAGTTAATTTCAAAGAAGATTAAAAATCAAGTCTGACAATCTGCATTCCAGAAAAAACTTAATCCCAATAATATAGTAAACTAAAAATATGTTAAATGAAAATAGTACATGCTAATGTTTTTTTTTTTTTTTTTTTTTTTTTTAATTTTAACATATATACAATTAAGTTAATTTAGCTAACAACATCAATCAATCATTGATACTTAAATGGGTGGTAAAATGTATGTTTCTAGAAAATTAAAAAAAGAATTATAAATTACTCACCTTCATTATTATACATGGTATTATTAAATATTTTATTTAAATAACTACTTTGTTATAATATTAGGTAGGTATGTCATAATCCTAATATTTATGTATCATAAAAATATTTTTATTTAAAAGTATATTGTTTTAGTGTTTTGCGACTGAATAGTTCTTCTGTTTGATTGGTGTTGTTAGCTATTTATTACCACCACGTTAAAATATTATTAGTCCCACTTTTAAATTTTACTGTATTTTTTTAAGTTAGGGGTTAAGTTGAGTTTGTTTCAATTTTTTTGAATACATGTTATGATCTTAACTCATATTTTGCATTACTGCATAACGAATATTTTGATCTAACTGTATCATTTAATTTGGAATAGATTTATCATAGTCCTGGGCTTTTAAATATTATGGTAACATTTTTGAAGGGTGTTTATCTAGCAGGTGGTCTATCAAATTTTATAAATGTGCATTTCTTTCATAGTAGTAATTGTAAAGTCGATCAAGTGCGCTTCTACTCCTTTATTATTTACCTATTAATTATTATAGTTATTACTTATTACATACTTCTCAATTTAAGCCAAAAACTATAATGTATTACTATTATGATAATGTAGGTACGCCTGATTTTGATAATAATAGAAATATAATTTTCATATAGTAGCACTAATCAATGGCGCTAAACTGTGTATTTTTGAATGAATTCTTATTTGATTTGATAATCCTAAATAAAAAAATATCTTAATAATTAATGATGAAATATATTTTAAACCTAATAGCCAATAGGTATGTACAATGTACATATTATTATTGGTACCTAAATCTTGTAGTAGATCACTTCTAGTAAATTGGTAGATCACCTGCTATACAAATGCCTTTTATAGTGGTTCATAATAATAGAAATATAAAATGGGGTGATTTCAGTCACGACATATTGAAATAGCTAAGTTCTTTTTTACATATTACCTTATTGTTTGTAACAATATTCATAATTATTGTATTGTTAAAAAAACATAATTTTATATAAATTTAAATTTGAAATATTTAACTATTCATAGTCTTTCACTATTAAATTATTTTAAATTATTTAAGTGGTTCACAATATTATAAATATAAAATGGGGTAATATGTGGAATTTCCAATTTTGAATTAAGTTGTTTTTAATTAAAGAATATAGGTAATTGAAAAAAAGTTGTACAATTAGTATGCATTTAAAATTACAATATGCTAGATGTGTACTTATAGGTTAGGCACCATATATTATGTATATTTAAAATTATGATTATTAACTTGCTAAAATTAATTCAAAACTAACGTGAAATAGTTTTGAATGGTAATTGAAAAAAAAAAAATCACCTATTAGAAGGTAAATCATAAAAACAAGACCTACAAGTTAAAGTAAAATTTTAAATTAATATTGTATTGAAAAAATATATTCAATAAAAAATTGTTAAATTGTGAAAATAACATTTTAAATATGGCTCTAATCACCCCGTTTTATATAGAATTAGTTACATTTTTAAACTTTTGTCAGTTGTATCATAGGGGTGTGCTGAATATGCTTTAATTTAAATAAATAATAAGGTATATAAAACAATTTCTTAGGTAGCTAATTGTATGCGCCTCTGAAGAGATTTTACAAATGGGTAATGAGCCTAGTCAATTTATCATAAACCATCTGAAATTAATGTCAGCATATACCTGTATTATATTGTGTGATTAAAAAAAATTGTATCATTTACTATGTAATTTTTTATTAGTCGCTTACTATGTTTTAAAGCTATTAAGTATATTTGTACATATTGAAATATCGTTTAAACCACAAAATCAATTTAAAAATTATTGTCTTCAAATTTTGTACTGGACAGTATTATAAGATATCAAACTCAATAATTTAATTTTATAATATATTGGTGTTTATTTGTTTAGTATTTATATGTGTGTATACTGTATTGTAAACTTTAAAACTGTACCATACCTATTGATTTTTATTACATATACTATATTTTTTTGTAATTGATTTTTATTTGACAATTTAAAAAATAGGTATACATTTTCAAATACAACCAATATTTTGGTTATTATAACCAATTTAACTGAAAAAAGGTGGGTAAGTGGATTGCGCTCTGCTGTACAGTAGGTTACAAGTGGGTCACTGTATAATGGATGGTATTAAATTTGAATTCAATGATACAATATCATTGTATAAGAAAAACGATTCTGAGCGAAGACGGTATGTCAGTCTAGGTTTAAGACATATTATATACATATCTATGGTATTAAAAAAAAAATTGACCTATAATAAATTCCAAATTAATCATATCACAATATCCACTAGGTACTTATAACACGTTATACATCAATAACAAACCCTGATACTATCATTGATATATAATAAAGTGTACTTTAGAAGTTTCAAGTATCCACGAATAATATTATTCAATCACAACAAAATAACTATAATACTATAACTAATAATTAGTTTTTTATTCTATAAATATCAATTAAGTTTTATCTGTTGGGCCAAAAAGTGTAAAATTTAATACAAGGCTCCTGATATATTGTTACAATATCAGTTGAAAAATATTAAAAATACATAGGCACAATTCTTTTTTATAAACATTTAAAGATCGAATTTTGACAAAATTTATCAAATAATTTGAATAATTATTTTGGAGGTTAAAAATGTATAAAATGTTCAAATTCTATATCTAAGAATTGAAAATTTAAAACAAGATTCCAAGTTAGTAGTTAATTTTGTTACT